AAAGATTTATGCATGAAAGTGTTTTTAATAAGACTGACTATATTCCATTTGTAAAATGCCTTAAAACTTAAAAGCATTTTTAAACTTACCAAGTAGGATACATGAGTATCACACGAAGTTATTTCATTACAATTTTAAACTTACCCAATAACACTGTAGGATACATGAGTATCACACTAAGTTATCTCACTACAATCTCCAGAGAAGAAAAGAAATGGAATCAATAACACTAAAAAAGGCCCTCAATTATGATCCTAACCTGTTGACAATTGATGTGATTTCCCATCCTATATTTGTTCATAGTCATTGCAAAGAGTCGAACATTACTATATTTAGCTACATTTTAAGAGTGGTATAAAAGCAAGAACATTGGACATGAAGTCAGATTCTGATAACTTGTGATTACTATTCTCACCAGTAAAAGGGTTGGTAATATCTAACTTGGGGGCTACTATTAGGCTAAGCACAAAATGGGAACATGCCTAACTTTATGACTGATAAAACTAAAGGTAAGACAAAACTGCATTAAGTACAGTCCATACTGAGGCACTTTCAAAACTGTCACTATATAGTCACTTCACGTTGCATAGTCTTCCTTCCTACTCCTAAACCTAAGTTACCAAGTTCCTTGTAGGACCAAAGAGAGGAAAGCAAGAGAGTCACTATTGATCTCTCACAATACATGTTATAATTTTGTTCTTAATAGAAGCATCTTTTTCAGGAAATTTAAGTAATATATTGTTTTTATAAAGGTATCATGCAGAGCACTAGATTACAGAGATCTGGATTTAATTCTTAACCTTACCACTAACTAATTTGCACACAGGACTCAAACTTCTCTTGGTCTCAATTCTTTGGTGAAAAATGTAGTAGATGGTTTAGGTAACTACTGAAAAAGCTTTTTTTCAAGGCACATCACTATAGCTCAAGACTTCATAAAATGCAGATTAACATCAGAAGAAGTAAGCATAAATGAACTTTATTATCAGTTACCTAGCTTTTCAAAATAACTGTTAACTTTTAGATGAGTCTTGAAAAGAACCACCATTCAACCCCTACATTAAAAGATACATACTGCTAGCAAGGCATATTGGCACACACATATAATCTTAGCTACTAAGGAGGCTGAGATAGGAAATTGCTGATTTTAGGCCAGCCTGGGCAACTTAGAGAGATCCTGTCACAAAATAAAAAATACTGGGGATTGTAGTTCAGTAGTAGAGAGCCCCTGGGTTTAACTCCCAATACCAAGGAGAAAAAAAAAAAAAATGAATCCACATAAGAACTGATTCTTAAAAGAGAAAGCATTTGACCAGCACACCTAATTAGCAGCAGTCTGTGTTGATGGAAATGCAAGAAGGAGTAGAGAAAAGTGGTTTTAACTCAGTATAACAGTAATATCCTAATTCATCCTAAAACACTGGTAGATTTAAAAGCTAGATTTACATGCCCCAATGTAACTTACTGTGAAACCTTCCCATATGGGTTTCCAAATCACAGCACCTGAGTTTCCCCTTCTGCATAAAAAGATAAGTATTCCTTGTCTATGTTAGTACAGAACTATGCAATTGAAGAAATAGTGTCTAACTTCAATGCCATTAGATCTTGCTTTATCTAACCTGAGGATTAAGTTTTCAGCCATCTCTTAAATATCAGTGTAATCAAAATTACCATTGAGAAGCTATTGAATTAATTACTACAACTTACGCCCCTGGATGCTCAAAACCCTCAAATGAACTTATTTCTCTTATTTATGCTGGGCCTCCCTTTCTTTGGGGCAATAAAAGACCAAGGTCTTTCATTAAGAGGCAGGTCAAACACTGGGTAGGTAAAGCAATTTATCTCTTTTAGTGAACAGTTGAATTTGCAACAGTTAAACATTCAGTCAAGGCTACATGCAAAAAGTGGACAAGCCCGTTATAATATCATTAACCATAAAAGAATCCTCAAAAATTTAAAAGTACGATTGTTTGCGTTATATGCCTATTATCTCACAAAACTCATTTCACTTGTGACTCTCCAATAAAAGTAGGTAAACAGATGGTACCTTCGAGAACCATCCGGTACTAATTCCGGACACAAGCAAACATTTTGGGGGCACTCAATTTTGCAACTTGGATGCAACCAACATGCAGAGAGAGGTCAAGTTTGAGGGTCTGCTCATGGCCAACCAATAAGTTCTGTCAGAAGGCATGACACACAGGCATGGTAACACATTGTGTATGTCAGGTTCCCTCAGGCCCTGGGTTACGGGGGGGGGGGAGGAGGGGCAAACTACATTTGTCATGAGAAATCCACTGTACATATAAGCAGGCTTCAAACCCTGGAATCTGAGCGAGGGTCACCTCAACCAAGCGGCGACTTTCAGGACACCACCGTGTGCCAGAGACCCAAAAACTTCTGGGGAAAACAGAAATGCACTAATGAAAAGTGCGGAGAAAGCGCCAACAAGAGGGGGGTGGGCGGCAAAGAAAACCTCCAGACCACCCAGGAGAAGGGGCAACTGTTCTCGGGAGGTCGGGATGCTAAAGCCCAGCCAGGACGCAGTTTAAGCAGCCGCCCGCTCATTACCTGACCGACATGACTTCGTCTTCCTGCCCCCACACCACCGCGCTCGCTCCGATGCTCTGCGTCCTCTGGGGCAGCTGCAGGTACCACAGCAATTGCTCCTCTGCTCAGGCACTCCGCGACCCAGAGCGCGTCCTCACACACCCCGCGCGCGGGCGGCCCCAGGAGAGCTGGCCTCGCGCGTTGATTGGCGGCGGGCGGAGGGAGGGCGTATGCTCCGCCCCCGGGGACGGCTGGAGTCTGTCCCTGGGCGCCGCCGGCCACGGCAGACAGCCAGAGCGGCTCGTGCCGGCTCCCAGGCGCGCGGGCTCGCTGGCTGGCCAGCGGGCTGGCTAGCGGGCGTGGTGGCCATCTTGAGTCCGGGTAACAGCGTCGGCCGCCCCACAAGGCACAAGGTTGGGTGCCCGCCTCAAAAATGGCCGCGCCTCCGGCAACTGGCTTCGCAGTCACATGGCCATGGTCTACCTCGGCAAGCTGAGGTCTCTTTTAACTGTACGGGGGTAAGGGAGGCTGTCAGGGCAAATCGCGATAGGGTTTAACCACCTGAAAAATCCATCTGCAGAAGTAACGTAACCGCCTGCGAAACCTCAACCCTGGGGAAAATCGAACTCAGCAATAGCAGCAGGACGTACTAAATTCCAATTTGCAGGGTTTAGCGGTCAATTGCTGGTCTGATGGTCCCGTTTGTTCGCGAACTTAAACACTTAAAGCATTTTAGTTAATATGGAGGTACCTAGGGTTCTAAACTGAATGAGAATCTAGATGGATGAGACCCAAACACCCGGTATTCTCAGCGTGTTCCCAGGTGATCCACGTATGCACATAAAGTTTTACACCGTCTGGTCAAAGTAACACCACTGTACCCTGTTTGCCACACTTGACAGATTACCTCACTTTCCTCAAAAGTATGCAGGTTATAAAAACAAGCTATAGGAAAAAGATCAGATCGGGAGGTACCCTAACTCCTAACTCTAACCTTAAAATTCAATGTGGCTAAAGGATTAAGAAATTGTTTTTTATTTATTTTTTTTTAATTTTTATTTTTTTTAGTTGCAGATGAACAAAATACCTTTATTTTATTTGTTTACTTATTTATTTTTTTATGTGGTGCTGGGGATCAAATCCAGTGCCTCATGCGTGCTAAACAAGCGCTCTACCACTGAGCTACAACCCCAGTCCCAGGATTAAGAAATTGTAAACCACTAATAAAAATATTTTTCAAATAGGAAAATTAATTCTAACTTTGGGAATATTAGGAGAGGGAAAAATTAGTAAATGCTTTATGTCCCAAATAGCGTTTCTTTATTTCTTCTTTGTTCTCTAAATTTAAACATTTATATTATTAGCAGTAACATTCATTTAATGATCATAGAGGATAATGATTTATTTCATATCTCTGAAATACATCAAAAATAAACCAAACACCATAATATAGTAAAATGTTGCTGATGGGTCCAGATGCATTGGCGCATGCCTGAAATCCCACCACCAATTTGTGATGCTGAGGCAGGAGAATCACAAGTTTAAGGCTGCTTCATCAATTTAGGTAGGCCCTAAGCAAGTTAGCAACATCCTGTCTCAAAATACAAAATAAGGGTTGGGGTTGTGGCTCAGTTAAAGCGCCTCTGGATTCAATCCAGAGTACTCCCCAAAAAATAAAATTGTTGCTGCTGGAACTGAAAAAGTGAATTATAATATATTTAATGTTAAAACTGAAGCTATGTGCTTTTCTGCTGGGGTTCATAAAACATACCCAAATGTGAAGGCCTCAGAAGCAAAGTTTCCCTCTGACCTCCTATTTTCTTGATCTACACCCACCCACAATCCCACTTAAGGCAGGAAGCAGAAACTAGAAATTCTCAGGCAGGTCATAGAATCACTTTCCCCAAACAAGCTACAAAGCCTAAAAATAAATCTTCCCCTGCCTTTCTGTCTTGGAGTTGGCCACAAAGAAATTCTCTGACCTACCTTGTCTGATAGTAGATAAAAAGACCACCATTTAAGAAAGGGTCCTGCCCCATCCCCAGGAGGAAGGCAGGCTACAGGGAGAGGACAAGAAGAATCTGGTCAGATCTTGCTAAGTTTTCCCACTTAAGTCTATTAGCATTAAATCATATCCTTTTTGTCCACTTGTATTTCTACACAGTAATTAGACATAAGCATTAAATGGATAGTTCACTCTAGGTCTTTGGGTTTTCATTCTTAAGGTTTCCATGTCACCTAAAATTACTATCAAAAATTAAAAAAAAAAAAAAATTGTTATGCTCTTCTCTTAACTGTTGTGCAAGAAAAGGATCAACACATTTTCCTTCCCTACATTCCATTAAATACAATTTTATTGTTTTGATTGGACTGTTCCCCCCCCACACTACTAGAGATTAAAACTAGGAGTGCTCTACCATTGAGCCACATCCCCAGCCCTTTTATTTATTTATTTATTTATTTTTATTTTGAGGCAGGATCTTGCTAAATTGCCCAAGCTGTCCTCAAACTTTCAATCCTCCTGCCCCAGCTTCTGGAGTCAGCGACTGGGAAGGCATGCACCACCTCACCAGCTATATTTTGCTTTTTAACCATTGAAATTTTAACATCCAAACTAGAATAATGTAAGTATAAACATTTACCAATATTTTCAAGACTTAGAACCAAAAAAAGAACATAAAACATCTCTATAATAAGTTTTCTATTGATTTATGTTGAAATAATATTTTGAATATACTGGATTAGAAAAATATATTAAGGTTAAACTGTTTCTTTTTTAATGTGACTACTAGAAATTTTAAATCATATCTTGCATTATATTTATTCCAGATAGTACTGTTCTGTAGTCTTAAATTATCATTCATTTTTTAACCTATCATTGCTCCTGTAACAGAATAATTACATTCACATAATGAAATTACTAAAATGGACAATTTATACAAATCTGCTTTTCCTGGTATCCATCTAAAAACATCAAATATTCCAAAAGATTGCAAGTTTCTTTTTTTATTCATCTCAATTAGTTATACATGACAGCAGAATGCATTTTGTTTCATTGTACACAAATGGAGCACAACTTTTCATTTCTCTGATTGTAGTCACACCATTTGTGCAATTATACATGTACCTAGGGTAATGATGTCCTTCTCATTCCACCATTTTTCCTATCCCCATGCCTGCTCCATTTCCCTCCCTCCCCTTTGCCCAATCCAAAGTTGCAAGTTTCTTTAGAAAGCACTGTTTTTAGGCTTAAGACTTATTCTCTTTAATTTGGGAAATGTCTATCTACAGTGATTCATGATGTATTCAGTCCACAAGTAAAGTCCATTAAAACACTGGGCTATACTTGCAATCATGAGACTTTGACCAAATGTACAGAAGCAGAATGGTTCCTCTGGATTAAACTGAATCCAAAGCACAGATGCAGGTGTATAGCAATTTTAAGTGGTGGAGACACCAATTCAAGAGATTCCCTCCTCCTCTTGCAGAAAACATTAATAGTTAATCCACATGGACTAAAATCAAGCCAGGAATAATCCTTAGGAGTATAAAATCTAAGTTAAATTTTAATATGGTGCACAGTATAATGTAAAGCAGTGCTTCTCAAACTTTAATATGCACACAAATCATTTGGGGAATCTTGTTAAAATGCAGGTTTGATTCAGTAGGAGTCAGTGGCTAAACTTTTGCTTGTTTTGTTGTTGTTTGTTTTGTACTGCAATTTAAGCCATGGGGGACTTTGACCACTAAACTACATCCAAAGTCCTTTTTTTATTTATTTTGAGACAGGGTCCCTCTAAATTGCTGAGGGTTTTGCTAAGGTCACTGCAGCTGTATTTGAACTACAAAACTTCCAGCCTCAGCCTCCTAAATCAATGAGATTACAGGTATGTGGCAGCCTGCCTCCAGCACCACCATATCCACCAAGTTTTGCATTTCTTTATGTTCCAAAGTCTGGCCAATTGCTTCTGATCTTTGGGTCAGAATGAGTAGAAACCTATTAGGTCTGTGACCTTGATCTGGTTCTTAATCTGTCTGACCCTAAGTTTAACCAGTTTAACTGTTATATACTTTTTAGGCCATAGCAAAGATTCAAATTTAATTAACTGAGTAAAGTGTCTGTCTAATGGAATCCATAGAAAATAACATAATTATTATCACACTAGTTAAAATTACATCTCTGGGAAGCATGATACTAAAGCTAACATGAACTTGGTCTTCTGTAAAATCAAATGTGCTTTTGTTCATGCTTAACATACAATGGTAATTCATACTTTTTATTTTTAGCATAAAGATTGAAAAAAAAAATGGGCTGGGAATGTAGCTCAGTGGTAGAGCACTTGCCTAATATCTCAATGCCCTGGATTTGAGCCAGCATTGGGGGAAAAATAAATAAATAAATTTAAAACCTTAATTTTGCTACCAAACAGCTGATTTTATTTTAGTGGTTTTTTTAAACAAATATACTAAATTCTAACATGTAGGTCTGCAACATTCAAATATTTAATCAAACTGAAGTCAAATCAAAGATTTTTTTTACAAATTCATTTTTGATAAGTGACCTTTTGCATTTAACTTAATCAAAACTTTTTTTTTAAATTAAAATCACAACATTCAAAAAGCTTATTCTTTTAAAAATGTATTTAGATACAAGTCATTTCTGCAAATATAAACACAAAAATATTTCAACAAACAGGACTTGTGTGATTGTTCTTTCAGAGTCAATGATGTAGGGACCCAAAGTAAAGATACATTTTTCCAGGTAAAGGCAGTTCTTTTGATTCACAGAGGTTTCACAGTAATTCTTACTCTTTTTCTAGGTTTCTCCATTTTTGAGAAACCAGTTTCTACCTCAAGGCCTGTGCAGAGGGAGGGGACATGACCCTTGTCCTTGGAAAGACCCACAGACCACTCCTAGGCACATATCCACCCTGCTGAGTTATTTGTCTGTAAATAACAGGAGAGATCTGTGTGCCAAGTGTCCCAGACTCAGTTACCAAAGGTGAGGAACCATAGCAACCCCCTAGCAACCACCAATCAGCATGAAAATATCTGAAATGCCAGGTGACCCACCCAGTAGTTTTGGTGATTGATAACATGATTAGGCAACCCTCCAAGTTTCAAGAGGTGGATACATTTGAACCAATCAGTTCAAATGTATCCACCTCTTGAACCAACCAATCACCCTTACCCAACTTGTTCCTGCCAGTGAATGTGCTAATCAATGGTAAGAGTTGTTGTTGGACTTTTCTGCGATGTGAAATGATTTGCTGTGTGATGTATCCCCCAAAAATCTATAAATCCCCACTGAACTAAGGGTCGGTTGGGACTCACTCCCTGGGACTGCTGCTTCGGAAAAAGTTGTGAGTCCAGGCTCAACTTGCAATAAAGACCAATTGTGTGATTGCATAGGATTTGGCTCCTGGAGGTCTATTGGGGTCCCATGAATCTGGCATTTCATCTACACACACACACACACACTTGCTGAGTAACTACTACTTTTGATCAATTTTCTAAGCAATTTATTTCAAATGTATTCTTTTCCTAAAGGCCTAGCTTATTCCCCTTTAAGGAAAAGTAGTCAATTGAAATCTTTAACTTCATTAACCTTCTCACTTTGAACAGCTGAATCAAGGAAAATGGGTCAAATAGTTTGCTCTTGGTAAGATTAATAAGCACATATTCTATCTATTATATCTAATCTTGGGTTAATATGCCACTATAAAAGCAAACCAATAGATAAGCCCAAATAGCTAAGTGCCTCTATATTCCAGAACAAAGATGTGAACCCACCCTTACTAATCTTTTCAACAGATGCTTCAGGTCCCAAAATAATAGAAATGTTCTTTTCAAACATAACCAGTTTGTTATAAGGGTACAATAAATAAAGAACTCTCATACATTATTGGTGGAAGTATAAATTAGTACATTTCTAGAAAGCTTTTTGGCAATGTGAATCAGAAAACTACATTTTTTCAGGCAACTATGGTTTAAAAAAAAGAGAGAGAGAGACTAACATGCAGGGTGTGCTGACGCAAGCATGTAATCCCAGTTACTCAGGAGGCTTAGACAGGTTTGAGGACAGCCTGAGCAACTTAGTGAGATCCCATCTCAACATAAATTTTTTTAAAAAGGGCTGGGATGTAGCTCAGTGGTAGAGCACTTGCACTACATGTGCAAGGCCCTGGGTTCAATACCCAATACTGCAAAATAAATTTTTTTTAAAAGCTAATATGAAAAAAAAGATTTGTATATGCAGTTACTTATTTCAGCATTAACAATATCAAATTAAAAAAAATATTTAGTTTTTAGTTGTAGTTGGACACAACATCTTTATTTTACTTATTTACTTTTATGTGGTACTGAGGATGAACCCAGGGCCTTGCATGTGCTAGGTGAGCCCTCTCCCACTGAGCCAAAAACCCCAGCCTCTCAAATTTTTTTTTAATATTTTTTAGTTGTAGTTGGACAAAATATCTTTATTTATTTTTATGTGGTGCTGAGGATAGAACCCAGTGCCTCACACATGCAAGGCAAGCGCTCTACCAATGAGCTATAGCTCTAGCCCTCAAATTTTTATTATATCCTATATTAATTAAATTATAGGGGAATGTTATGGAGCTATTATAAAATGTTTCCACGGATTTTTTTTTTCAGGTCATAGGAAAATGCTCATGATATAATGTTAAATGAAAAAAAAAAAAACAAGCAAAGAAAAAGACTGCAGAATGTGATCTTGACCATATTTTTTAAAAATACATGATATATATATATATATATATATATATATATATATATATATATATATGAAAAGAAACACATTTAGATGTTGTTGTCATCTCTGGGAAGCAGAATTATATGAACTTTTTACTTTATTTACAGTAAATTTTCTATTATGCATTAATTTTATAGTCATAAAGTTTTGTAATATTAAATTTTGCAGGGTTTTTGTTTGTTTGTATAGGGAACTGAACTCAGGGATGCTTAATTACCAAGCCACATTTCCAGCCCTTTTTATTTTATTTTATATTTTTTAGTGTTGACAGACCTTTATTGTATTCATTTATTAATATGCGGTGCTGAGAATTGAACCCAGTGGCTCACACATGTGAGGCAACCACTCTACCACTGAGTCACAACCCTAGCCGCCCCCCCCCCTTTTTTTTTTAATTTAGTGAGACAGTTCTCACTAAACTGCTGAGGGCCTATTAAATTGTAGAGACGGGTTTCAAACTTATGAACCTCCGGCCTCAGCCTCCTAATTAATTGGGATTACAGGAATGCACCAACCACATTACCCAGCAAATTTTGTGTTTTATAAATGATTTTAAAATGCAAGCATTCCTACTCTTTTTAAAACTTGGGGGATTTTGTTGTTGTTGTTTTGTTTTTGTTTTTGTTTTTGTAGTACTAGGAATTGAACCCAGGATCTTACACATGCTAGGGAAGAGCTCTACCAACTGAGCTACATTCCCAGGCCTAAAACCTTGTATTTTTAAAATAACAACCATCAAAACTACACTTAAATCTTTACAGGAATTTGATTTACTTTACAAATGCTTTATCTTTTCATGTTTAAAGATTTTTAAGACAGGAATAACAAAAATAAAATGTTACTCTGATTTTCTTGGTTAATTTTAAATTGCAACTTCACAAAAGTTAAAAGTATAAATACCAGTTTCGAATTGTGCTTAAAAGCTCAGCTGTCATCACATGAATGTGGAGTGTTTTCCCTGTATGTTACTTAAAATATATACCCTCATTTAATAATTGATGAAAATAATCTTTTTTAAGCAATCTATATCATACTCCAAAAAGAGAAACTTCTTAAAACTTGTCTCCCTAAAATTAGTATTGTGCCACAGTACATAGTTCAGAAGCCTGTGAATGTGAAGATGGGAATTCTTTTTTTTTTTAATATATTTTAACTACTTTTATTTTATTTACTTATTTATTTATTTTTATGTGGTACTAAGGATGAAACCCAGTACCTCACACATTCTAGGCAAGTGCTCTGCAAATTAGCTACAGCCCCAGCCCAAAGATGGGAATTCTGATCCGGCCCCTATCAATAACAGTATGACTTTTCACAAATCATTACCTGTTTTACCATCAGTTTCCTAATCTTCAACACAAAGGAGTGTGTTAGAGGTGACATCTCAAGACCTTGTCAGTTCTTATTAGACAGTAAAGGAAAAACTGTCTATTTGTGTCTCAATACATATTGCTTTCTTAAGAGCTGATCAATTTTAATTAGTTTCAGAATGGGCAAGGTTATTCAAAGAAATGTTGCTAAACATATTAGTTCTCATCTCCAAAAGGAATCATAAAACTTTATTATTTTCTTTTATTACCTGTATATTCTTATGTCATATTTCACTTTAACATCACACATTTGAATAGAATACAATTTTTAAAGGTAACCTGGCAATTTACTTCCCAGAAGAATTTGAAGACTACAAGAACATCTGATAGATCGAACTTTATTTAGTAGGAGTTTTTAGCGAAACTCCCTTCCCAGGCACACCCACACAGTGCTTCTTTATTTTCAGTGAACTATATAAATTTCTGAAACTCGAAGAAAACCTCCAACCTAAAAGTACAGGACCTAAAAGTGCTTTCCAATTATTCCTGCTGCAAAAAACATATTTTTAAACTATAAAACTAAATATCACTATCACTTAATAATGAAAAGGATATTTTAATATAAAAATATAGAAAGGACATTACAGAATTAAAGACAGTCCTTCCCAAAGGATTGTCTGTAACCTTATATATGTGTTATATTAAAGGTTTTCCTTAATTTATCGTAACACCATAGATCAATCTATTTTATTTCACAAACAAGCTTTCAGGAATTATTCATTCAGTCACTGATCAAATGTTGATTTAGCATCTACTCTGTACACTCAAAACTAGAAATTCAGCAAAGATCAAGAACAAGCTCTGGGAGGGTATGGTGGCACACACCTATAATTCCCACAGTTCAGAAGGATCACAAGTTCAAAACCAGTCTCAGTAGGATTCACAAGGCCCTAAACAACCTAGGGAACCCTGTCTCAAAATAAAAAATCAAAAGGGCTGGGGATACCGACCAGTTCAATCCCCAGTACCAAAAACAAACAAAAACCCACGTTCTGCCATTATAGAAATAACATTCTAAAGGAATACAGATGAATAATCAAGTAACAGACAAGATCATCAAGGGATCAAAAGTGCTATGCAGGGCTGGGGTTGGGGCTCAACAGTAGCACACTTGCATGGCATGTGTGAGGCACTGGGTTAGATTTTTGGCCCCACATGTAAATAAATAAAAAAAGGTCTATCAACAACTAAGAAAAATATTTTTTTAATTGCTATACAGAGAATTAAAACCAGCAGATCAATGTAGAGAAAATCTCTTTTACATTAGGTAGTCAGGTTCTCTCTCTACAAGCAGAGAAGTGAAGCAAAGCCAAGTGGGGGAAGGGCAATCAGAACAGCCCCCAAAGGAGAACTAGACTGCCAGTGCAAAAAAAGCAAGTGAGAGAGAAAGAGCTGTACGTGGCCAGTGCAAGCAGCAGATGGGATTGGACTGCATGAGCTTACGAAGTATTGATTTTGTTATAAGTATGGCAGGAAGCCATCACTGTAATCAAGTTTTAAACAGAGGAATAACATGATCTCATTGTGTGTAAAAGATCATTCTGAGCATAGTATGGAGAATAGAATAGAGGAGCAAGAAAACAGAAAGACCAAATTAGAAGCCTATTAGAGCAGTTCTGGTAACAGATAACCATAGAGATAATGATGGCCATGAAGAGAAGTAGATGGTTCCAGGAGACATTCTGGAAGTAGACTAACAGGACTTGCTGGTGGACTAAATATGAGGTATCAAGGGAAGAAAGGAATCGAGAGTAACTTCTATATTTGAGACTTGAGAAATTGGGTGAATGGTGCTGCAGTTTTTTCTAGATAAATAGAGAAGACAGGGCTGGGGATGTGGCTCAAGCAGTAGCGCGCTCGCCTGGCATGCGTGCGGCCCAGGTTCGATCCTCAGCACCACGTACAAACAAAGATGTTGTGTCCGCCAAAAAAATAAATAAACTCTCTCTCTCTCTCTCTCTTTAAAAAAAAATACAGAAGACGGGAAAAGCTTACAAGACTGGAGTTCTGGGAAAAGAGAGGGATGAAGAAAAGAGATTTGGAAAACAGGTTTTTCTTTTTAGTCTTTCTTTCTTACTCCTAAATGCCTACTGTTTTCTATTGATAGACTAAAAACAAATGTCTAGAATTTTATATGCAGTTTCATCTGAATAATATCCTAAGAGAGAAACAGTTTTACCTTGGCATCTGCTAGCAGCCATGAGTATATATAAAAGTAGAATGATGCCAGGCACGGTGCTGCATGCCATAATCCCAGCAATTTGGGAGGCTGAGGCAGGAGGATCATGAATTCAAACCCAGCCTTAGCAACTTAGCAAGACTCTAAGCAACTCAGGGAGACCCTATCTCAAAATAAAATATTAAAAAGGGCTGGGGATGTGGCTCGGCATGTTTTTCAAAATTATTTTACCATAAATGTGACAGATTTTAAATGGCCACAATTTCTTTAAGACAAGTCTATGTCCTCTCCACTTAAATCTGGACCAGCCTGGGGCTCCTTTGACCTATACTATTAGTATGTTGGAAGTGATGCTATGCCAGATACCAGGTAGCCTTTAAGAGGACTAAACTCCTGCCTTGGTCTCTTGAGGCCTCCAACTGTCATGTAAGTCCAACAACCATGAGGCTAAGGTTGTGGCTCAGAGGTAGAGCACTCACCTAGCATGCGTTAGGCACTGGGTTTGATCCTGAGCACCACATGAAAATAAAATAAAGGTATTGTGTCTACCTACAACTAAAACATAAATGTTTAAAAAAAAAAGAAGTTCAACAACCTGACAGAAGAAACTGCACAGAAAAAAGGCTCCCAAACTACAAGAGGGAGAGACGCCCCGCTGAGCCAAGCCTTCCAGTCATCCTCAGTAGAATACCAAACTGTGAAAAATACATTTTACAGCTCAATTTTCCCTACATATTCATAACTAAAGTAACATTTAATAAAACAATAATTACTCTTAAATACTCCAATGCATTCATATTTCCTTATTTCTCTTATATACTGATTGTACAACACAAATTGATTTATGGGCTAGTTTGAAAGACATTGTAGTCTGTATTACTCACTTCACAGGTGAATACACAAACCTAGATAGAAACCTTAATAAGACCCAGGTGTCCTGATTACTAATCCAAAATCCTTTTCCTTATACCATCTAAAAGGCAATAGGTATTACAGTCCATACCAGAAGTCTCTCACAAACTCATATACATATCCCAGAATTGATCTATGTCCTCCTCCCCCCACACTTTTATTCCTAAGCTTATCAAGCATAATGAAATTGAGGTTTTTAAGTATTATCAGTTGTATTTACTAATCCTATTCTTCAAATAGGCTAACTGTACATTTCATTTCCCCCCCCTAAATTGAACCCAGGAGTGCTCTACCACTGAGCACAGTACCCCAGTGCCTTTTTATTTTTTATTTTGAGAGACAGTCTCTAAATTGCTGAAGCTGGCCTGGAACTTGCCATCCTTCTGCTTCAGCTTCCAGAGCCATTGGAGTTACAGGAGTGTACCACTAAGCTGGCCTTAACATTTTGCTTCTGTACAAAGGTTACTTTTTATAAACTGTATGAGGTCCAAGGCGAATTGTTACCATGAGTCATTTCTAATGGAAAAGACTTCACTGCTGTCATCTCAGACGTGGTAAATGTTTTTATAGGATTTTAAATTATGAATAGTATTAAAAGATTAACAGCTTTTTAGAAGATTACTAGTAATTGTTCCACGTATTATATAGGAATACTTCTTGAAGCAAAGAGCCTGTTTGATTTTTTTCATCCTATAAGTTACATATTTTTTAAAAAATTTTTCCCAGATTTTTATTTGGTGCAGTAACGTTGTACATAATGGTGGGATTTGTTGTTACATATTTGTACATGCACTACAAATCACTGCTGATTGTTATTCACACAAGATCAGAAAATTGCAAGTAATTACTAACAATATTAAAATAAGACAGATTCAGGTCTGATCCTATCTTGGCCACTTAAAACTGTCATCACAGTCACATCATTTAAACTGTCTAAACCTTAGGTTTTTCATCTGCAAAAGAGTATGGGTTATCCTACTTCGTTTTAATAATAGCAACTTTATTATTATTAATAAACGTTAACTAGAATATTAAAACTTCTCTTAACTGGAATATTTTAATTATAAAACACAAGCCAAATTTGTTTCATTAGAAAACACAATCTGCTCAAAATTCAAACTCAACAAGTTAATCCATTTGCAAAGCACGCCATTAAGTATATCCTCACAAATTTATTCTTGGGTTATAAACATTTATTCTTGGGTTAGAAAAAAGCTACATTTGTGTGAATGAGAAAATTTTAAAGACAAAAGTCTAAACCAGATTATAAAACACAATGCTACAAGATTTCTTTAAGTAGTGTGCTTATCTAGCATATACAGAATTCACTTTGACAACTTTTCTCCCTCTTCCTCTGTTGTGTGTGTTTATTGTATATATATATTTTTTCATAAGGTAATATAAACAGCGAGAAAGGGTGAGTCAAAGGTCCTGATTGTGAAATGAGCACTACTTAACCACTCTGCATCTATTTCCTCAGCTAAAGACATGTTATCTGGTGACCTTGTGAGAATCATTAGAAAATGTAAGTGAAAGTACTTGTCATTTCTCATCTAAAAAAGAGGGGGAGGAAAAAAAAGCTCCAAAGAAAATACTTTGTTTCTTGTTCCAGGTTCTAGTATAATGACAAGTTACAATTGTAAAACTAGTGAGATCAAGTCTCATCTCAAATAACATAGCTATAAGTAACTAGCTGTGTTACTATACTAATGAGACTTAATCTCTATGGGCTTGAATTCTCTCAACTTTATGGTTAAGTACTTCATCAACAATAATAATCTAAAGTCTAAAATATGTTAAAGGAGTTCCCAACAATCACATGAAACTATGAACCACCATTTCAAAGCCATATCTGGATGATTATGAGGTCTGCTGGTGCTTTCACACTCAATTCCATGTTTTGCAGGAAACTCTAGAACCTTTCCCACCATGCCTAGATGCCTCTTAGCCATCTCCTACCAGCTACTCTTTCCCCCATTCCCATTAGCATTCCCAAGCAGTCTTTGGAAATACCAAAGTAGTTTTCTCAATGGGAAAGGCTGAGAGAGCCTGCCCTAACCTGTTTTATGAGTTAAAGTAATATCTACACAAACAAAACATTTAAAGACCTCTACAACTGACTTGATATCTAAGGGATATTAATGAATCTTCTCAAAAATATGATCAAGCTTCACAGGGAACTGAGGTCAAAGATCTCTGATGTAGTAGTTTTTCTCTAGTGGAAGAATGTACTTATTTGCACTGAATCTAGGGAAGGAATGTTACAGAGAACTTATATATTTTTCTACAGAATATCCTTGTAATCAAACATAAGAATGAATACATTCAAAGAAGTCAAACTTACCATGTAAAGAAGAATCTACACCCACGCATACACCAAGATCTTTTTTGAGTTATTTTACTAAAACAATATTTTTAATACCAAACATTTAGTATTACTTAAAGAATTTAATAATGTAGCCATATTTGATTATAATATCTCAAATTCAAATAATCTATGCAATTCCATACATTTGGATACTTACATAAAACAGACAAGACAAAGTAGAATTTTGTCAGCATATTTTTAACATATGCTTTAATGTGCCCTGTCATGTTATCCCATGCTAAAAAATGTAATAAAATCAGTTCATTCTGAGTGTGTGAGAATGACAAACGTAGGTCTGCATACAACAAATGTAGGTCTGCATCATTTCTATAGCTTAATGGATTAAGTGTTCAACCAAACTAAGGCCTAAGTTCTGTAAAGGAAAAACAATTTCAAAAACTATTTTAGGGGGAACTTAAGACTTCCTCAATCGTGGCCATAAAACAAGCAAATGTTAAAATCCCTAATGTGGTTAACTTCAAAGACAGCACAGTGAACTGTTCACTTGCAAAGGAGATAATTTTTTCATATTTCAATTTGTTTACTTGAAAACGTAGATGGTTTTTCAAGAGCTCTAGGGTTCAGAGCGTAAAACACAGTTTATTTTGATGTATCAAGCTTAAAGGAATTCAAAAATACTTCAGACATCTGTATTTGATTCCTTTGCTACATTTTGTTTTCAACTGACCCCTCCTGGATGAGTCAATAGAGACAAACTTCTAAAAAAGACCATTTGTGGTATTAGCCACTGGTTACAAAGTACCTTACATTACACAGTTTACTATGAAATTCAGAAAAGTATTCTTAACTTTCATTGGTTTGGGAGTTCTAATTACACTGCAAATAGCCTTACTAATTAAGGACTTGCTAACCCTGGGGAAAGAGATTCATCATTCTGATTGAGATCATCTTTTTTGTAAATTCACTCCTTTAGAAAATCCACTCCTCCACCAAATAAGCAATTCTACTACAAGACAAAGGACACAAAGGAGAGAGGTAAGAGTGCCTGGGAGAGCACAAGGTGTGGTGGTATAAGCCTATAATCCCAGCTACTAGAGAGGCTGAAGCAGAAAGAAAGCAAGTTCAAGCCCAGCCTGGGCAAAGTAGCAAGACCCTGTTTCAAAATAAAATTTTTAATGGGGGCTCAGAATGTAGCTCAAAGGTACAATGCTTGCTTACCATATGCAAGGAGGCCCTGGGTTGGATCCCTCATACCGAAAAAAGAAAAGTCAATGCTGACTATAGACCTTTAATAAAATATAACTGTTTATAAGAGAAGCAGAGTTGTTCTGAGGAAATTTTCCCCATGGACAAATACAAAAAAAAAAAAAAAAAAAAAAAAAATTCATCACTATGGTCAAGGCTCACTACAGTCACTAGAAAGAACAGAGATGTAGGTGAGAAATCGATTTCTTGCTTCTACTGCCTCTGCTATCCTCCGGTGTCAGAATGATATTGCATACAAACTTACTCCATATGACAAATATTTTAACATATTTCAAAGGACCAAGACTATTTTAAAATAAGGTTCTATCAACTGTCATAAATATGTAAGAACTTATACACAATTCCATTTTACACCATCTTTAAAGGGTTAAGAATTCAGGGCTGGGAAGCCAGGCATGGTGGTGCACACCTGTAATCCCAGCAGCTTGGGAGGCTGAGGCAGGAGGATCACTAATTCAAAGCCAGCCTCAGCAAAATCGAGGTGCTAAGCAACTCAGTGAGACCTTACCTCTAAATACCAAAAAAAAAAAAAGAATTCGGGGCTGGGAATGTAAAATATAAGTAGAGCACTTGCCTAGCATTCACAAGGCTCCGAGTTCGATCACCAGCAACACAGACACATACAGACACACATACTGAGTTAAGAATTCATTAATTCAACAAAACTTTAGAGCCTGTTATGTTGCAATGAAGTCATAAGTCATAAGGCACTGAGGATTATTCAATCGTTTTCTAAATCAAATAGTAATATGTCAGATTAAAAAAATGCATGTATACTGTACAATGCAGTAATGCAAAATATAAACAACCAGAAAAGCCATTTCCAAACTGGATGAATAGAAAAGTTTTATAAAGATGATAGATTTTGCCTCACACAGTGACGCACACCTGTAATCCCAGAAGTTTAGGAGGCTGAGGCAGGAGAATCACAAGTTCTAAGCCAACCTCAGCAACAGAGAGGCACTAAGCAACTCAGTGAGGCCCTGTCTCCAACAAAATACAAAATAGGTCTGGGGATATGGCTCAGTGGCCAAGTGCCCCTGAGTTCAATCCCCGCCCCACTCCCAAAATGATAAGATTTCAACTGAACCTTGAAGAATGAAGTTGGTTTTGTTTTGTTTTGGGGGGTGAGGAAATTGGGGGAGAGGAGGAAAGTTGTTTTAATGAATATTTTCTATATGTTACAATAGCTTTTTCTCTTGATAGGGGAAAGACACTGCCTCCTTTCTCAATGTACAAGATCCTAGTGGAGGTGCTAATTATAGTGTCCCTCTCAACATGGATCCACTTCCCCACATATAGGAACACCGCTTACACTCCCTGGTTCCCACATGTTCTAGCACCACCTACATACCAAACACCCCAGGCTGGGGATGGGGAGGAGAAGTATTTGGCCATCCAGGGCTGGCCAAAATCCTACATTTGATACAGTCATTGATTTAATGCAATATGTAACTCAGATAGAACCAATCAGAATGCTCCCAAAACAGATGTAAAAATAATCTCTTCCTGTGGGCTCACCAGAGTTTGGCCTGGAGTTGAGAATTGCCATCTTTCTTCTTACATTGAGATGGCCCCTTTGAGAAATAAATCTAATACCAGAGGAAAATACAAACAAGAGATGCACTCCTACTGATGGAGTCATACCTGAATGGACTTCCATTTAGGCAGGTCAACTGAATGTCTCAGAAACTTCAAAATTATACCACCAGGGATGCACCAAAGACTAGTCCCACCCTCTAGAAGGCAAGTAGCTAAATGACCACTGCAATATAATTTCTGATGATTTCCCTAATTTGGTGAGTGATTAATTATTACAAAAGCTACCTAGGCCTGCAAGTAGTAAAATAGCAGGGTGTACTAGAAACTAAATATGGTTTGCTGTCAAAATAGTGAGGCCCCATTAATAACGGTCCCCAAACTAATGTGTCTTGAGAAGAATTTCTTATATAGTAAATGCTATATATATCATCTTAATTCTAGAGAAAGTATGGAAGTCAGCATGCATGCAATGAGAGCCAAAATGCAAAAGAAAACTCACATGTTCTTACGTTGAAAGTAATTCACTATTTTCGAGATCTGAAGTTTATGAACCAACTTTTTGGCGGGTGGGTGTTGTACAGGGGATTAAACCCCAGGGACTTGCATATGCTAGGCAAGCACTGTATCACCAAGCTACATCCCAACCCTGGTTTTAAACTTTATTTTGAGACAGGGTGTTGCTAATTTACCCAGGCTGGTGTCAAACTTGGCAATCCTCTTGCCTCAGCCTCCAAAGAAGGTAGGATATAGGCATACACTTCCTCACCTAGTTGACCAATTTTTTAAAGAAATTGGATAAAGCCACAAGTACAAA